TCTCTCGGTCGGTATAGTTCGCTTGCGGGCAAAACCATGGAGTTTTTTTCTCCATCGTCCGGTATTCTAGAGACTAGGAAACAACGTTTCGGAAACTGGTTCTGTTTCCGTAATGGAGTCTGTGTATTAATGTAACTCCGATAGCTGTGATCACTGTTAGGAGCCTTCTGGAGCCACACGCCCTTGTTCGAAATGCTTTCGCTTTTTTTTAAGCAGGAATTTTTTTCTTTGCTTTAGATAAAGTGTTTAAAAAATTTCGATGAGGTATTGTTGAAATTAATTTCTTTAAAGAACCTCGGACTCAATTTTATTTCTTACATTTCACTTGCATCCTTCCAGAAATTAAGACACCCATATTCACAGATTTATTTTATATTGCTTTGCGTTTCTTCTGTGATTTGGTGCGAATATATGGCGGCGTTAAAAACGCTATCCCCGGTTCTTCCAGTGTTCAAATTATTAAATGTATTGATTATAAATGTATATATTTTACTTTTCTCACTACTCAGTGATAACTTAGATTTGTATTAGTGTAATTATCATTATATTAAATTTGTTTTATAAATTGCCTTGTTTTATGTTTTGTTTCATTTCTTCAATCGTGTTCGATTTGTAATTGGCCTTTGGGCTGTTACGTATGCACGTAAATAAGAATCCAGTTATTACTTTATTGTCGTTGTTCGAAGTTATAAATGAGCGTACATAGTTTGTGGTCTGAACTTTGGTCATGGGAAAGACTTGAAATAAGTACCGAGAGATGGAAGGATAGAAGGGATGCGAGAGGAAATATACCGTATTATTATGAAGGAGTGATTAGAAGAGTGTGTTGCAAGCTGGACCTCAACCTCCTCCTCTTCCTCTTCCCCCCCAATATTTCTCTCTCGTAGTTCGTCGAGCCGACCCTGCGCTTAACTGCAAGAGAGTTACAGGAGAGGAACAGCTCCTACCAGAGTAGCTGCAGGCATAATATACGGTAACTATTAAATAGTTTATAAAGTAGGCCATTGGGGAATAGTTGTTGCAAGTCTCGGCGCTCGGCTTCAGTAGCTGTGTATAATACATGATGCCGGGACTTAGTGCACTGAGATCGAATCCAGAGCGGAGATACACCATTTAATAAGTGTTCGATATTAAAATAAAGGATGGATTTCTGTCGCGCAGTATTACAGGCGGTAGGGTGATGCTGTTATGAGTAATATTATTTTTCTTATTGCTAGTGGGATGGGACTAAGTCCCTTGTACTGCGGCCACTACCAGCTATTGTACCAGCCCCAGATGATAGGGGAGGGTGATTGTGGAGCAATTGATGGAATGAAGATTGGCAGGGGAAACCGAAGTACTCGGAGAAACCCTGTCCTAGCGCCACTTTGTCCACCACAAATCCCACTTGACCAGACCCGGGATCGAACCTGGGCCGCCGCGGTGGGAAGCCAGTGAGTAACCGCTTGAGCTGTGGCGCGGCCTTATGGGTAACATGCACGCAGTGAGTACAATGAACACAATGGGCAGGCTGATTCTCTGTCTGTAATTGTGAGCCCGGTCACATACCCGCTCTACGTACCCTCAACTATTGTACAGAAGAGCTGGGATAGCTCCAGCTGAAGGACCGGGTTTCGATTATCGGCAAGGGAAAGAGATTCTTCTCCTCTCGACAGCGTCAAGATTGGCTCTGGAACCCACCCAGCCTGTTATACCGCGAAGTTCAAGAAGCGGTACAAATGAGCTTTCTGGGAAATACGGGCCAGTACACGACTAGGTCATCAAAGAAATAATAATAAAAAAAGGTAAAGCTATCTCTGTAACAGGCCTTGGAGGCACGTAGATTTGTGAGACGTCGAGGCTCCCACATTTTATAGACAATCGGCTCACAAGTGGCGGTGAGGTTGTCAGCCTTACGTACCGGCCGCGCTTTACCCCTCAAGAAGATTTCTGGCACTCATTTCAGTTAGAGGCTGAGTCGACTCCAGGGCCATAGTGTTGTTGGAAGAATTGGATCAATTGAAAAATCAAGTGAATTCGTTGGGATTTGAACCCGTAAATTTCCGGCTTGTAACATAGTGCCTCAACCAACTGCGCTACTGCCTGCCCCATCAAGGAAATAGGCTATATTTTTCCGACGAAATTACATGTTTCGTATAACTCATGATCAATAAAAGTGAAGACTGCCAGCACATTTGCCCACAACACACAGGTCTGTATGCAATGAAGAAACGTAGTTTGCTACAGCAGAGTCTGAAGCAAAACCTCACGTGGCGTAGTTTCGCGAAGGAAGAACATAGAGACTAACCGCATAAGCATGACGTCAGACCGAGTTCTGCATACTCGTAGTTCATGACTGCGATGTTTCTTGTGTTCTCACGGTGTTTACTATGAAGATTACTGTCTTCCGGTTTTTAACACCGTGTAATGTGATAGATATTTGTCGGCATTCTCCTGAAATGTCGGTTAACATTTACGGTTCTTAAGATTTAAGTTTGTGACAATATATTAACACAGTTATTGACTTTCTGGACATTTTTTTTCAACCTTTTTTTTTTCTGTTATCAAAACATCCGTCATTGCGTTATTGACGGATACTTTGATAATAACGGATGATGCCTCAACGGAACGGGATGCTGAAATATATTACTGTTTTTTTTATTTAAACGATATTTCTGGTACTGTAATCTGCCTCCGTCCACAGGTAAGAAGCCCACTCAAGTAGGCCGAATCGATAAAACTGGTCTCCATATTTGAGTATAGTGCAGACTCCGAAACTACGTTTTATATTAAAAAAAGGCAGGACAATGGATAATGCCAAAAACGATTATAACCTAACCAGCCATACATATGAAGTCACTTCGTAGAAGGCGGTGAATATTATAACCTATATAGCTGAGAAAGAGTATAATTAGAACGATTAAGTCAAGGAGGATGAGTTGGGCAGGGCATGTAGCATGTAGCACGAATAGGGGAGAAGAGGGATGCATATACGATATCGGTGGGAAAGCCAGAAAGAACGAGACCACACGGAAGACCAAGGCGTAGGTGGGTGAACAATATTAAAATGGATCTTAGAGAGATAGGATGGGATGATATGGATTGGACTGATCTGACTCAGGATAGGGACCAGTAGAGGGCTCTTGTGAACACGGTAATGAACTTTGGGTTCCATAAAATGCTGGGGAGTTCTTGAGTAGCTGCAGAATTGGTGGCTCCTCAAGAAGGGCTCAGGTCCATGAGTAAATACGTAGTTGAGAAAGCATCGTTAAGGAAGGTTACTAAGACAGGGAAGAGAGAGAGAGAGAGGGAGGGAGGGAGGGAGGGAGGGAGGGAATGTTCTGAGAGTATTTGCCATGGCTGAGTTGTTCTTGTAGTCATTGCGGGAAGAATGTGGCAAAATGTTGGCGGTCTTGAAGGAGATACAGTGGCAGGATGTAGTGACCTCTCTGTAAGCTATCTGCAGCTAACTCTTACATCAGGTATAAACAAAAGGAGGACAACGAAATGTGAGCGACTGCTTGGCGGGTCAGTGGTTCCGAATTATGAAGTAAGAGAAAACAGCAGGAACTCTTTAACACTGCTCTGTACTGCCATGTTGGCTCACCGACGGCCTAGATACGCAGTGTTCGATCCCCGGTACGAGACATTTCTTTTAATGTTTACTGAAGTCGCAGCGGCTCTCTTCTTTTTAAATGAGTATGAGGAGAGTTCGGTGATCGAGGTGGCCGGAACAGGATGCGGAACCCAAGTGTCTTATAGTGTTCGCGGTCAATGACCGCGTAAATGTTACATCATCCAGGCGACCCACCAGGTGCCTGCACGGTCTTGTTTGCTAATTTGCTTATCTACTTTTTAGGCCTACTCTCTTACCTCAAAGTTCGTACCATGTAGCTCCCCGAAAATGAAGAAAAGCATTTTGATAACAGCTTGTGTGACACATCAGTGTTACATGAGGCAGAACTCTCGGCTAGCAAAGAAGAAAATGCGTACAACTTAAAGCGTATAACAGTATTTGTAACCCCATTTTTAATTTAATACTGGAAATCTGTTTTTTTAGTGATAGTTATCTAAACTACGAAAATTTAAAGAATTCTACTTACATAGAATACATTTAGATACTTCGATACTTATCATAATTCTAATCATTCTCATCGTCATCACCATTATTATGATGTTATTGTTATTGTGGCAGAATGCGAAAATCAGTGCCTCGTGATCCTAAATCCTGCCGTCAAACAAAAAGCTAGTCCAGTTTTTTCCACCTCTTAATGTTTACTCCCATTATTATTATTAAATATGTAAAGCTATCCCTGTAACAGGTTATGGAGGCCCATGGGGTTGTGAGACTTTGAGGGTTCCACATTATCTAGACAGTTGCCTCAAAGATGGCGGTAAGGTTGTCAGCCTTACGCGCCGGCCGCTCTTTACTCCCCATGAAGACTCCTGGCACTCATTTCCGTTAGAGGCTGAGTCGACCCCAGGACCATAGTGAAGCTGGAAGGATTAGGTCAATCGAAAAAATCCACCTCATCGGGACTCGAACCCGTGACCTTCGAGCTTGTAGCATACTACCTCAACCAACCACGCTTCCGCGTGCCTATTATTATTATTATTATTATTATTATTATTATTATTATTTCTTTTTGATTGTTTAATCCTGTGTTGTCATATTGGCGTTGTTGTTGGTATCCATGCTGACAATAATTGGCCATTGGCTGTTGAGCTCAGCACGTAAGTAAATAAGGGACTGAATTGGAATGAATAATTATTATATTCCTTCCATTTATTCTCATATTTCTCTTTAAATTACGCCATTTCTTTTTCCGCTTCTTACATCTTCATCACTTTTATTCCTTACACTGCCATTTACCTTTCTCCTCCTGTCTGCAACCGCTCTTACGCCCTTTGATTTCCGTTGTTGGGTGTGGTTTCGGTAGGCAGTGAAATTCCTTCTCAGGTCTTTATACGGGTCTTGGATTATGAGTAGAACAAGGGTACTAATATCACGCCGACACACCTTACAATTACTCACTGTTTATTATCATAGGCTGAAACACTTCTGTCCGTAGGGATTACACACATTACATTTACACACTGTTAAACGTTTTACCATATGCAGAAACACGTCTATCGGTAAGAATGACCGAATCAGAAGTCTTTCGAAGCCCGGACTACATCCTCGAGTTTGGGGACATTAATTCTCCCCACCCTCGCAGATATATTCCATCATCGCTTCTCATTCGATCATTCAAACGGAAGGCGGGTGTGTTACTTCAAATCCTCCAATAACCTTTTACAATTACATCTTCGAAGCCGCTGGTCCAGCGATATTCCCAACGGTTCCTGAGACCTCGCTGGAATGCAGCTGCGAAGTGTAATATTTCATACGATGAGCGGCATCCTTTGCTGATAATATATATTTATTTTGGCTGCATGTAACAACTGACACTGTGTCACCACTATTCCGTGCCGCAGGGATATGAGTGTCAGTTGTTTACACCAAGTCTAGCTCTTAATATTCCAATTTAATCTTTAGTTTAAATTGGACGACTTCATGTCCCTTCCTTGCTACGGAAGTCTTTTGGTTCTTCTTTGTGCCTGTCTTCCTTTACCCTTCTTTCTATTTTTATTCCAGTCCCTTCTTGCTCATGTCAAAATATATATCATAATTCAGGTTCAAACTGAAACACGAGTTCGAAAGTGTGACATTCAGGATCCATAAGTTTCGATTACTTGTAAAATTTTTCCAATCATAATTTTTTGAGGGATTAATAACTCGCATGGAACATGGCTCTCCCTTTAACGCAAGGCTTCTGACGGGTGTCAGGTGACAGTATCAATATTTGTAATTAAAATGGTAATGGCATACGCGGTACGCCTTATCTGTTCAACAGCCTTCCTTCACGACGCGCAGTGTTCCCTCCCCGGTGGGGGCATTATTCATTCTTGATTTACCACAGTCAGGTTAACAACCAACGCGATTTATTGTTCACTTCTGCATTCATGGCTTGCCGTAGCTTCGCTTCCCCCTTTATTTATATGTAACCATACGTTTCTTATATAAAAGCTTTTCGCTGTTAACTTGGAGACGCTGCGAAACACAGGCTCTCGTCTTGAACAATTCCTCCACTTCCCCAGGAAGTTTAAAGGTTATATTCGGAGTGACCCTAAAATATGAAGCAACAACATTTATATTGCCTGATACGGTCGTATTGTGACTTTCACAGTGGAATTCATCGTCTTAAGAATTGTCAAATTGAAGGAAGGAATGTGAAATGTTGGGTTTGAGGTGTGTTCTATGGAAGTACACAGCAAGTGAAGGAGGTTTTGCCTGCTGCCTGCTTCTTAATCGATACTTATTTGGCTTAGTCTTCAGCCCTGAAGTTGGAGGCAGTATATTCAACTTAAACATCTGTGAGTTTCTGCCAGACTGTACAGCTTTATTTCTCAGAAGAAAGTGTTCTTTGATGTGACGTGTCTTCATATTCATTGCAAGATATGAATAATATATACCCCAATTTGAACTGTAATATGTTTTGAGAGGACTTTAGACGAGTTTTGGATTGATAATTCGATTTATTTGACTCTTTGATACAGCATGTGACTACACTTTAGAATTTACCATCACACACTCGCTAATGTCAATAGCCTTCACTAGCCGTTGCTCGGTAGCGGCTTCCAACAACGGACGTTCTCCTTTCTCCGGGTTCCTGAACTATCCCTGTAACTCAGCTACCAGCTTCTCACAGAAACGACCGAACAGCAGTCCTCTAACTCACTGACTGTCTAACCAACCAACTCAACTCAGCTCATCTCAACGGTCTCAAAAGTCAAAGTCGAAGATACTTTACGACTGACGCTCTACCGCCAATCAGTTCGTTTTGGGGACAAACCCCTTGAGGATCACGACATGAGATGTTTTTCATCTGAACCCTTGGGGATATATCCGTTATGTAACTTCCACACTGACGAGGTGATGTGTTTGTCTTCCATGAATAGGCTTCGCCTTTGTCAAGTTATTGCAGATAAAACACGTTGTTTCCCAAACTGCACTGCACTATAATATGTGGCCATGAAATATTTATACAAATTGTTACATTCATGTAATTAGTGTTGGTAGTGATATCAATCCCAGTTAATAAATTACTTATCCTTTGTGTCTGGTCATACGACTCAGCGTCGAGTAAAAGTTTTGAATTAAATAATATAGAACTTAATTCCGTTATTTTATCTACAGTTTCATGTAAGATAAACAGATTTCAGGAAGTCTACAGACTAGCAGGTTGAATTCAACTTCAGGCAAAGGTGTTACATCGGACAGCCATGAACCAAGGTTTAATCTCCCTACAATGCTTAATATAGATTGTGAATACCGAATTTGCTATATATCCGTTAGTGTTTTTCGAGTTATAACATGAAGACTGTTGGACATGCAGTGACGATTTCTACTGTTATTTGTTTAACTTGACCACTTCATCTCAAGCACGCGTAAATTGGTAACATAATTGTTCACTAATTTTCCTAAAATGTATATTTTCGGACCAGTGATACAATTTTTCCAATTCCTGGTCAGAATGTTAGAACGGTAATGATTTTGATTCTAATTCTGGAGGTACTCGACTCTACTTTCATCCTGCATGGCGTTCATCTTTGTTTTATTCAGCTCCTCCAGGTGAGTAGGATCCGGGATAACGCAGTCGGAATAGCGACTGACTCCGGGCTGGACGGCAGAGGGGTCGGAATTTTCTCTTCTCCACGTCGTTCAAACCGGCTCTGGGGCCCACCCAGCCTCCTATCGAGCGGGTAGCGGGGGCTCTTTCTCCGGGGGTAAAGCGGCTGCGGCGTGAAGCTGACCAATCACATACTAATGCCGACGTCAAGTAAACGTGTATCTAAGTATCTACTCCCTCATACTCTTTCATGGCCTAGTGTTTAATTAGTTAAGCGAAGGGACAACCTTACCTTTATCTTACCTCCTAGCGAGTGCCAAGGTACGACTTAAGAAATCCCATTTCCTGAGGCCATTCGTTGATCGTCCTTCCATAACGCATTCAAAAGTATATAGTGTATCTGATAAATCATCGCAAAACAACCGAATAACTAACCATTATTATAGGGCCCGCGCCATAGCTCAAGCGGTTAGTCGCTGGCTTACCATCGCGGCGGCTCGGGTTCGATTCCGGGTCTGGTCAAGTGGGATTTGTGGTGGACAAAGTGGTGCTGGGCCGTGTTTTATCCGAGTACTTCGGTTTCCCCTGCCAATCTTCATTCCACTAAATTCTCCATCATCATAATCACGCGGGGCAGGTACAATAGGCCAATCAGTGGCCGCCGTGCCGAGTGGACCCAGCTGGACTCCACCCCCCCCCACTATGCGAACGATTATAAATTAAAGAGGCTGTAGACGGTCAAAATATGATCATAAAACTTAGTTTTACGCAGGCGCAGAAGGAATGTCCAGTAATATATTTAAACCACCGTGTATCAAGCTTGACTTCTTTGTAGTTTATGTATGCTAAAGTTGAAATAAAAATTCTGAGTGGTAGACAGGCGCTAATAGCTTCAGCAACTGATAGGTGGATACAAGTAAACCCACTGCTTCGACTGCTTAAAGAAAAATGGAAACATTTACTGACTAGAACTTATTAAACTGAAAATAGGTCCCTCTCATAACAAGTTTGGGTTCATGGAAAACCGTTCTAATATAGTACCTCTATGCCCGTTGAATATCATTCTCGATATGTATTTCCGGCGGCATATAATTCTGGAAACATGGTAAAGACAAACGTAGGTTAGGCTATATTAGGTTACATTCGGTTCGGTTAAGTTAGGGTAGTTCAGTTTGGTTAGGTTAATTTAGGTTAACTTCGGTTATATTAGTTTAAGTTCGGTTCGTTTACGTTAAGTTACGTTATTATCTTAGTATAGCCAATTAAAACAGAAGTTGTTGAAATCAGTTTGAGTTCATCAGTGTCCCTATATTTTTCCACATTTCAATGCCATCCACAGGGACACAGTAATAAAAAAGAAAATAGCTCAAGATTGAAGAAAGCAGTCTTCTGGGATTTGGCACCGTGTATATGTGGTGTTAACCGACGTTTCGGTGAAAGCAGACTGCTTTTACCGGTTCTCACGGTCTCTTCGCTTGCAGATTTCTTATATTTTTTCTTCTACCCTGAAGATGGAGGCGATACGTTCCTCCGAAACGTCGGTTAACACCACATATACACGGTGCCAAATCCCAGAAGACTGCTTTCTTCATAGTCACCGCCGTGGAAGCCTCAAATCCTACATAGCTCAAGATTATTTTCTGTGATTGTACATAATGTCGGAGAATTTAAAGAATTTGAAAATTTTCATAAAACAATCCTGCATGTAAAATAATATACAATGAAGGAAAATAATCTTAAGCTAGTTTATTTTTATTATTAATTATGCTTCATTGGAAATGACATTGCATATGCCGAAACTTACGGGCACAATGATGAATTTAAACAAATTTCAGCAACTTCTCTTGTAATTGACTGCAGTAAGATAACAAATAACATTACGGGTTACAACGGTTCACAACTCAACGTAGGAGATCGCCTAAGTTCGTTTAGTTTAGGTTAATTTTTTTTATGCTAGTGGGGTGGGACTAAGTCCCTTGTACTGCGGCCACTTCTGGCCCATTGTACCAGCCCCAGATGATAGGTGAGGGTGATTGTGGACCAATTGGTGGAATGAATATTGGCAGGGAAAACCGAAGTACTCGGAGAAAACCTGCCCCAGCACCGCTTTGTCCACCACAAATCCCACTTGACCAGACCCGGGATAGAACACGGGCCGCCGCGGTGGGAAGCCAGCGACTAACCGCTTGAGCTATGGCGCGGCCTAGGTTAATTTAGATTAGGCTTCATAATTACAATTATCCCGTAATATTATCTTAAACTTACAATTCTCATTCGCATACCACACATCCAAATGTTTCTCCTTACATTTATCACAGGTTCTACGTGTTTTTGGTCTTCCTCAGTGGGAATTCCTCCGCAACTGTACCTTTCCCCAGTCCGCAGCGGAACCTAGTATTCACATCATAGCGTTCCTTTCCGTTGCACTTAAATCTTTTCATTAGCCCTAGATCCTTGTAGCTTATAGCAAATAATACTGATGAAAAACGTACAGAACTCATTTTCGCTGAGCTGGATTCGAGTTCGGGAGTGCGAGAACTGAAACCGCAAGTACTACAAGTTGTAATGGAGCTTCTATGGAGCAGCAGTGCCGGTACGGATGTGATGCATGCCTGGACATCAACAGGTTGTCCTGAGAACTGCCGTGAAAGTGAGATAACCTTTAGTCAATTTGTCACCGCGGGGAGTCGAGGCGTTCTGCAACGTATTCTACATTGCCACCAGGGAGGGAATTATTTCCGTTGGACACGATAATGTATCCCGTCATGTGAGGTACAAGTTAGGTGTAATCTTTCAATTCGAAATAAATTCTAGAAGGAATTACTGCCGTTTCATTTCAAGGTGATATCTAATTCATTAATTATTTTATTTATTAACCAACTCAA